GGGGAAATATCACAACCCTATCACCTTCTGTTTCTGAGCTACTTCCCCTAGTTAGCAAGAGGCCACTCTATCATTGTCCCTCAGACAAACAATAGAACTGGATCCATTTGCAAAGAGAATGAGCTTCACCCTGCATCCCGCATCCTGTCCCCCCAAACAGGAAGTGAGTCACAGAGCAGAGGAAGTACCCTATCATTTTCAAAGGAAAAAGACACAGGACTTCAGAGTTGATTTCTTCTTCTGAAACAATGCACTCCTACACTAAAGCTATCTATCGGTTCTGTTTATAATGGCTTGGATGGTTGTTACAAACATTTAATCTAAATGTTTTCCTGTCCTGCAATTTGACTTGATTTTCAGGTAAACAAGGTCTCATAATGGGAGCAGCAGATTCCATGTCATATTTTCTCTGTTATATTCCCAGATCTGTATCAGCAGGTTATTAATGTAGCAGAGATTAAAGGAGGTGTGGTTAGAGCAACTTAATGGGCTACGCTTTTCACACACAGAAAGGGAAAAGAAAGGAGTGAATAGAATGTTATTCATCCTTGAAAAAAAAGATCCTGTCATTTGCAACAAGGTAGACAAACTTGATACTAAGTGGATGAACCAGGCACAGGAAACACACTACTTGATCCCATTTTTATGAGGACTTAGAGGTAGCCAAACCCACAAAATTGGGGAGCAGAACCTGAATGGCAGAAGAGTGATAGGGAGGAGATGGAGAGAGGCCAGTCAAAAGGTGTGAGATGTGGCTCCTTAAATGAGATGCAGAGATGCTAAAACAAAACAAAAAACAAAACAAAAAAAGAGCTTGTAATTAATACTGCAGTGAATAAGATACAGAAAACTGGAGCCTGCAGCTGATCTTCTAGTGATGCAAGAGGGTAGAGCTCATACTAAATGCCTGTACCACAGAAGAAACTGACTTTTCTAAATGAAAAATAAAAGTGAAAGACATTTCAGAAGTAACTTCAGAGGGGATGGCTAAGTTTGCCATCTTGATCACTGCCATGGCTTCAGTCACTGCCACGCCTTTGAGAACTAACCAGACCCAGCCGTGCTTAGCTTACAGAGATCATGGGTCTCCATGGTGTATGTCAGTAGGCAATGATCAATGGAGTCATCAAGTTATATCCTGCACATTATAAAGTGCAATTTTTATACACCAATCATTCCTTAAGAAAACGGTAAAAATGAGTATAGAAAAGGACGAGGTGTGCATGGTGAAGACAAGTTACCAATATGTCTCTTTTCTGTTTTCTCTTTTTGTCCTTCCATGTGTGGCACTGGGGAGCTATTGAAATGCACCTTTAGGTACCAAAGTTCAGTGACATAAATCCATGTTTCTCTGTCTACTAGATTCTCCAGTTCACGCCCATCTAACTATACCTACACTAGCAAATTTGGAAAGATAGGGTATGAATTGTGTTAAAAACAAACCCAGGAGCTGGGGCTGTAGGTCAGCTGGGCAGAAGATGCACCAGCATATGCACGCCCTGGGTTCCCTCCCAGCACTGCACAAATCAGGCCTGCTGGTGTGCACCTATGATCCCTATCACGCAGGAAGAGGAGAAAGGAAGATCAGAAGTTCAAAGTCTAGGCTGATGAGATGGCTCAGTGGGATAAGCACTTGCTGCAAAAGCATGAGGACCCAAGTTCAAGTCCCCAGAATCTAAGTATAGCTAGAAGCTATAGCATGCATCTTTCATCGAAGTGCTCACAGGAGGTGCAGACAGGAGAATCCTTGAAAGTTCGTGGGTCAGCCAACCTGTGTACACAGCAGCAAACATCAGCAAAAGGACCCTGCCTCTCAGACAAGGTATAAAGAAAGAATCAGCAGCAAGATTGTCCTCTGACCTCTACATACCTGCTGTGACATCCAAGGGACCACACTTGGTCAAGAGCATATATATGTACATACACCTACATGCAAGAAATTCAAAGTCACTTTTGGCTAAAAGGGGAGTTCAAGATCAGCCTGAGCTACAGGGTAAGAGAATGAATGACTTAATTAGTTAGTTAGCTAATTAATTAATGTGTCAAAACACTTTCTTATCCAAGGATACAATCCTGACAATCACCCACTTCAAGAATCTGAAAGGCAAGCCATGGCATTCATTCATATACTTAACTGATCTGTATAGAACATGATGTCAATGATTAAAATTGTCTACTGTTTTCTGAAGGAGGAGGGCAGGTAGCACATATCACACTTGCTTGCAATTGTCACATAGAAAATGAGTAGCTGAGTGTGTACACTAACGGTTCTTTAGACCATTTGCCTATCCTAAGAGTTTGAAAATCCAGAGACATGTTCATATGCAATGAAAGAAGTCTGTATCAGATCGGCCATGCTTGGCTAACCCTTGGCATGATTTGGACCTTAAGGTCTCTCCCAGCTTGTGTGCTGAAGACCCATAACTAGCTGATGGCACTACCAGGATGTGCAGGAAATGTTAGGAAAAGATGGCGGTGTCTGTAGGTTTTCGGGAGAAAGCTTAGCGTGCACTTGGCCCTGGACTTTTTCTCCTCTTGTCTTCTGTTCCTCTCTCTCTCTCTCTCTCTCTCTCTCTCTCTCTCTCTCTCTCTCTCTCTCTCTCTCTCTCTCCAACTCCCTCTCTGTTTTCCTAGAAATGAACACCAACATGAAGCCACAACTGGACAATTCCATACCATAAAACTGTTTGATGCACAAAATTATTGAAAATATTAAGCAAAAAAAAATCATCTTTAAGTTATATGTTCTAAGGCCCATATGAAAAAAAAAAGTAAATTCAGTTTTCAAACTTGAGGCCATCCCTAAAACACTGTGTTTCTGAAAGCACCACAAAGTGGGGCCAGTGAGCGGCCTCAGCAGGCACAGGTGCTTGCTTGCTGCCACGTCTGATGACCTGAGTTCAATCCCCAGGGCCCATGTGGTGGAAGGAGAGAACCAACTCATACAAGTTGTGCTCTGACCTCCACACATGTGCTATGTGAATGCCTACACACACACACACACACACACACACACACACACACACACACACACACACACCAAATAAGTAAGTAAAAGTACGGCCAATGTGATGTTTGTCTTGCTACAGGTCCAAGGCAAGGTGACTGCAGAGTACAGCCGTGAGCCAAGTTCAATTTTTTTCCTCCTTATAACCTTAGCATTTCAAAGACATAGTCACACGCCATGGAAAGCTACACATGCCCTGAATTTATTTGATGCTCATCTTAAAACCAGGATTGCATACTGAATACTCAAGAAAAATCTAGATTAAAAACAGATTAATAATCATCAATGACATAGTCAGGCCCACCTCATGGGCCTGTTCAGTATGCCTTGAACAACCATGCTGAAGGAAGGGAGGGAATGAGAACACAGAGAACCTCTGCCAGCTAGCCAGACCCCTTGGCCCAGAGCCAGAAGCCTACTTTATCCTAATCCAGACAGTCTCAGAAACCCGGTGGCCTGAACAAGGTAACTTAGTAAGTTATTATTATTATTACATTGCCGTCTTTTCTTAACATTTCCTGCACATCCTAGTAGTGCCATCAGCTAGTTATGGGTCTTCAGCACACAAGCTGGGAGAGACCTTAAGGTCCAAATCATGCCAAGGGTTAGCCAAGCATGGCTGATCTGATACAGACTTCTTTCATTGCATATGAACATGCCTCTGGATTTTCAAACTCTTAGGATAGGCAAATGGTCTAAAGAACCGTTAGTTCACTGCTGAGGTGCCTACAGATTGTAAACATACAAACTGCATGCATGTTTATATTCACATAGACATGTAAATGGCATAGGTTGGCACTTCTTATCCAAAATGATAAGAACCAAAAGTCTCCCTGATCTGGGAATGTCTGCATATACACACTAATATTTTGGGGAGAGGACCAACATCTAAACACTAAATACATTTAGTTCTCATGGACATTTGACATGTGTAGCCTACAGATCATTTTATATAATAGTTTTGATAATTTTGTGCATGAAACAAAGAGTCCACTCTTGGATTCATATTGGTGCTGAACCTGTTTAGACTTTGAGGCATTTCCAGTCTTAGATTTTCAGGTCAGCAATCCAACCTGTATGTGCCCAGTCAGCATCTGTAAATGTGAGCCTCTCCAACTCAGATACTGTAATGTACATATGTTAAAGCTGAACTAGTCACCTAATATTTAGGCGATTCTCCATGAGGAGTTCCTGAGCCTGGGTTATGTGCAACTGTGCTAGGGTGAGATTAAGCTTCACTGCCAACTTGATTAGATTTAAGGTCACCATGGAAACACACTTGTGGGTGTGTCTATGTAGGTAGTTCCTGAAAGGTTTACCTGAGCAAGGAAGCCTCACCCTGAGTGTGGACAGCAGCATTCTGTGGACTCAGATTCTGCCTGAAGAGGGGTAGCTGAGCCCCAGCATGTAACACCATATCCATGTCCCCAGGTGCCCCAGCATGTAGCACTCTGTGTCCATGTCACCAGGTGCCCCAGCATGAAGCACTGTGTCCATGTCACCAGGTGGTGCTCCTGCCACCATTCCCTCCATGATGGACTTTATTCTCAAACTGTAAACCAAGAGGCACTTGTCGGGCATTTTGTCACAGCCATGACAACTAGTCCAAGTAAAGAAGATACAACACACGCAGAAGAGGTGATAAAGATTAACACCAAAGTGATAAGAGTCTTGTGCAAGATAAAGGGAAGAAGAAAAAGGAAAAGGTATCCTTGTGTAACATGGAAGCGAAGGGTTAAGATGGACAGACTTTGTCCTCACAATGCAGCTTGCATTCCATTTACCTGTGGACTAAGTAACTTTGGTGACTTAGGACGGGGTCCTAAGCAAGCCAGAGCCATGGGTTCATCTATTCCTGCATCCCACTGTTTCTATTTCAGGCCATAGATTTCGAGCTCAACTCTAATAGAATCCCACATTTGCTCCCTACTAGTGGTGATGGAAGACACAGTCCAAGCATGGGAAGTAGCCACAGAAACTCATCATCTTTACAGCAAGGAAAGAAAATAGCTCTGCTATCTGCTCTCCCTGCCAGTGGTCCTTCAGGACCAACTTCATAAGGGAATAAAATCACACTGTTAAGTCCAAATAGTTCCTACTGTGGGGCAGAACCTGTGACCATTGCAACTGCCTCCAAGTTCATGTCATTTTCTCCTGTTGGAAGGTAGAAAGAGATAAGTTTGGCTTTTTAAAATTTGCAGATTTCTATTAAGTTCATTATCATGGGTTCCAAACATATTAATTTACCCACAAGTTATTCAGGTAGACAAGCTTTGAAAAATACTCCAAATTTGGGAAGAGAATATTTTCTCCTGTTTAAACAGACACCCCTGAAAATTAAATGTCACTCACATTGATTCTCATTCCCCACCCCACCCCAAACGCCCAGATTGGTTTCTATTACAGCCCAATAACCCTGCAGTATTAAGTAAACCAAGCAGTTTGATTCTGTTCAACAGTAATCACTAGCTTTGCTTCTTTATTAGTGGTTTTATAGAGAAACTACTTTTTGTAATGAAAAAGTTTGCTTCAGGCTCAATTCTTGCATACCAAGCTTCAGCTTGTGGTGAAACTCAGCAGTCTCGGTACGAAGCCTCGAGTGTTGGGAATCGAGTGACGGACGGAAAGGCTGACACATTAGCCACAGCTGGCACTTCAAAAAACAGAAAGAAAAACCTTCAAATATGTCCAGCCCTCCCCTAGGAAGTCAGTCCCTGGAGCCGAGAATTGTGTGATTTTTTTTTTTCAACCATAAAAGCAAAGCTCACCAGCAGTGAAAACCAGGATACCGGCTGAAAAGGTTGACCTCGAACTAAAGGCATTCAGTGTTGACTAAGAAATGCGTGCTAGAATGCATGGCCGAGTTGGTTACTGGATTCTCAGAGAAAGGAAAGAAATAGAAAGAATTCACACAAGGAAAAGCTTCGCTTCTCCTGACAGAGACAAAGTAGACAGACAGACAGAAGCTGTGGCGTCTGGCAGGTAGAGGTCATGGGCTAGAAAATGACGGTCTGTTTGTGTTGAATTCTACAGATTATCTCTAAGTTCACCCTGACTGAATGAAAAGGATGGCACTGCACAAGGAACAACTATGAGACAACAGAAGACTCTCACTGAAGACACCCAGCCTCAGTTATAACCATTGCAAAGACTGGCAGGTATGAATCTTTAGAGAAAAGACAAAGCAAAGCCAAGCAAAGCGGCAACTCATTTGGGGTCTCCATGATCAATAGACCTCATCAATGCAATTTCCAGACACTCCCCAACTTTGTAGACTAGCAGCTATTTCCATTAGCAGCTCCTTTGCTATTCTATAAGCCAGGTCGTTAGTCTCTTTCAGGTGCACTCCCGGTCACAAGGCTGGAATGAGCGGCAGAGAAGATGCACGTTATATTTCTGCGCACTTATGGTTTCTCTCACTACACCCAATTAAGCTTATTCAGCAAAGACAGGTACCCACTTTCCCTTTATGTGAATTTCCCATGGCAACCTGTCTTCAGCAAAACCAAAAGTAGGTCCTCAGTAGTTTGGGAATAAAATTGCTTAGAAACAGGTTTGCAAACACTCAAACAGAGAGAGAGAGAGAGAGAGAGAGAGAGAGATTGAGATTGAGATTTACCTGCATACATATAGGTATGCATATATATATATATATATGTATATATATATATATCCCATATATAGATATGTCCTTATTTGTGTGTATCTGTAACATATAGTGTGTGCATACACATGTATACACACACACACACACACTTTAATGAAAGTTTTGTGTTCTGCTTCATACATATGAACACTGTCCTAATGCCTTGGAGGCTGTTCTCTTCCACTACAGATGGAGAGCCTGACTTACAAGAGTTGATATGATAGTTCTATTTTATGATACTACAAAAGAAATTTATCAAAATTCAATAGAAAAGAAAGCTACTTCTAATTTTTCAGTATCTTTGGGCTAGTTTTTGGTGGTCCAATCTTTTCTTGTGATACTAGGCAGTAGCAGTTCAGTCATGGGTCCCAGTAGGCCACACAGTCATGAAGTGATACAAGGAGCCTTCTGCAATGCAGCCATGATTGATATTCAACAGATGCAACACACTGATATGCTGAGGGAATGGCTGACCTACAATACAAATACCTAGTTGATCCACAAGAAATTTAGTAATTTCCAAGTTGAAACTAGAACCAATACTTTTTAAAAAAAAAAAAAAAAAGATTTATTTATTTTGTGTATGAGTGTTCTATCTGCATGTGCACCTTTATGTCAGAAGAGGGCACCAGATCTCATTACAGATGGTTGTGAGCCACCATGTGGTTGCTAGGAATTGAACTCAGGACCTCTGGGGGAGCAGCCAGTGCTCTTAACCGCTGATCCATTTCTCCCTCTTTAGGTCTTCCTTGTTAGTTAGCTGCTCTGGAGTTATGGGTTGTTGTCTGGTTATCCTTTGCTTTACATCTAGTATCCACTTATGAGTGGGTATACACCATGTTTATCCTTCTGAGTTTGGGTTACCTCACTCAGGATATTTTCTAGCTCCATCCATTTGCCTGCAAATTTCATGATGTCATTATTTCTCTGCTGAGTAGTACTCCATTGTGTATATGTACCACATTTTCTTTATCCATTCTTTGGTTGAGGGGCATCTAGGTTGTGTCCAGGTTCTGGCTGTTATGAATAATGCTGCTATGAACATAGTTGAGCATGTGTCCCTCTGATATGATTGAGCATTCTTTGGGTATATGCCCAAGAGTGATATAGCTGGGTCTTGAGGAAGGAAGATTGATTCCCAATTTTATGAGAAAGTACCACACTGATTTCCAAAATGACTATAAAGAACTAATACATTTAACATGCTTTCCAAAGTGGGCATGGTGGGCATGCCTATAATCCAAGCACTAAGAAAGTTGAGGCAGGAGGACTATACATTTGAGGCCAACCTGCTCTACATAGCAAGTTCCAGGTCAGCCTGGACTACCTAAAAGTTAATTGATTAATTAAACAGCTCACCCTGACACTCCCACTCAAGTCTAAGCTATCACAAAAATATACTGAATATCTACTTTCTTTACCATTTTTTACTTCTTATACCCACTTTAGCACCTGGCAAAAAGGATATTTGCAAATCCATGTTTACTGCTACATCATTCAGCCAAAAGAAAAATGGAAATATGATTTTTAAGGAGAATAGATGGAATTAGAGATCATCGCATTAAGCACAATAGGCCAGACTCAGAAACACAAGTATCATATGAGCAAATATCTCAAATATTCAAGTCTAGATTTATTTTTTAAAGTGAACAAAGTAAAAGGGGGCCCAGTTTAGGAGACAGCAGGACAGACTATAAAGAAGGGTAATGGTGGGTGAATATAATCAAAGCACATCAGTTACATGTGTGACAGTGTCATAATGAAATCCATCATACTTTACAATAAATACATATTAAAAAAAATCATGGGGAAGGCTAGGGACATAGATCAGTAATAGAGCACCCGCCTAGCATTTGCCATGCCCTGTGTTCAAAGCCCAGTACTAGAAAAGAAAAAACAAGAACTCTTGGAGAAACGAAGCAGATATATAATGAATATATATTAAATGCATAAATAAATGACTTCTACAGGAAAAAACAAACAAACAAATACCTAGCCAGGTGGTGTTGGCATACACCTTTAATCTCAGCACTAGGGAGGTAGAGGTAGGAGGATCTCTGTGAATTCGAAGGTCAGCCTGGTCTACAAAGCAAGTTCCAGGACAGCCAGGGCTACACAGAGAGAAACCCTGTCTAAATAAATAAATAAATAAATAAATAAATAAATAAATAAATAAATAAAAGAGAGAGAGAAGGAAGGAAGGAAGGAAGGAAGGAAGGAAGGAAGGAAGGAAGGAAGGAAAGAAGGGAAAGGAAAGGAAAGGGAAGGAAAGGAAGGAAAGGAAGGAAAGGAAGGAAAGGAAGGAAGAAAACCTGTCCTGATACCTCCTCTTCCTACCACACACCCAACTTTCTTTCTACAGCCTTGTAAACACCAGTTCCCTCTGTAATTCATAAAATTGCTGCCTCCTCTGTGTACACTTTCCCTCGATGGGCACAAGAAACAGACTACTCGCCTTGCTTTGCTACTGAGGTCTTGCATACAAAGAACATGGTGATGACATTACCTGGCAGTGACCAAGCACTGTCCAGCTCTCCCCTCCTTTGGAAGCTCACATAGAGCAGATAACACAGAGCTTCAATGCACATGTCTGAATGTTTGATAAATTCAGTCTCCATACATCTTGTTCTACTCGTGAATGGCCAGCACTGGTGTATCCCCATGGTTCCAGGGCTCAGAAACCACCAACTTTTCCCATTCCTCATTAAGCAATGCAACTGTGCTCTTTCTGTTCTCAAAATATGCCATTAGCTGTTGGGGAGCTAAGAGAGGCATGTGCATGGTCAGCCACTTCCTGTGAGAGAGTAGCCTCACACTACCATCAGGTAAGGACCAACACTGCGGAGGGACACTGTCCTGACTGTGGGAAAAGAACTGTGTACACAAAGCTCTTCAACCACAGGGCTGGAAGAGAATCAAAACAAGCCAAAGCTTAATTAGTGTTGAAGATTTCCCGGCCAGGATCCATGTCAGAGGTCAGGCTCCAAAACCATTGCTAGGGACAGCAAGTCTATCCTAGAGACACAGATCTGGGGAGTTTTAGAATCCTTCATATGAACCTCCATATTAGTCAGCCTTAACAGCTTCTCTCTCTCTCTCTCTCTCTCTCTCTCTCTCTCTCTCTCTCTCTCTCTCTCTCACACACACACACACACACACACACACACACACACAAACCCCTGAACTCCAAGCCCTGATAAAACCACATGCTTCCCATTCTCTTCTGTTCAACTCTCCTCCCTTCTATAAATTGAATTGATGAGGAGTTTTCTAAAAGCATACATTCTCTTAAAGGCTCTGTTATTTTGATGTTAATGGCTTTGACAAGGAGCCAGGCCAAACAGTCCCGAGCAGCAATAACTCTTACAACAGCTCCAAAACTTACCCCCAAATGTCACTGAGTCCCTGTGCTGATCTCTCCTCCTCTTTGATTATTGCTGGGTGTCTTCCTCCCTCCCTTAACGTTTTATAGAGAACTCAAAGGCATCAAAGAAACCAGCTAAGGAAACGAAGATGGAGAGCCATGTTCAATCTCAATGTTATGATTTTTGCCTTTGCTTTCCGGTAATACATTCTAAACCCAAAATACAATCACAAATGCTGTGTCACACAAATCAAGACAGCAAAATACATCTAAAGAAAAGGGAGAGGGTCATTTCTCAACTTTATCTAATTCTCAGTATACACACTTATGTATGATAGGTTAATGATTTTTTTTAAGTTTGTAAAAATGTACCTTTATTATCATTTGTGTGTATTTGTGTGTGTGTGTGTGTGTGTGTGTGTGTGTGTGTGTGTGTGCGCATGCATACACAAGTGCAGAAACTGCATGCCACACAGTGCATGCTAGGGTCAGAGAAGAACTTCTGGAGGAGGGGAGTTCTCTCCTGAAGTATGACCTAGGGGTGGAACTGGAGTTATCAGGCTTGTGCAGCAAATGCATTCATGGGCCATTTCTATGCTACAAGTTCAAACTTTTTACATGACAAGCAAGTGGACACCATCAA